AACATTGCCGATATTCAAAAACTCCCGTGTTATATCATATCGGGTATCAATTCATTTCATTGTAACAGTTCGGTCAGCCAACTTGTATCGTCTGCTAGGACAAAGTACGAGGAAATGTTATTAACTACGTCATAAGGTCTCTCACCGTTCCAATTCGTTAAAAATACCTTCTGCCTGTACTTATAGTTGTTATGGATTCAGTCTGTGACGCAAACGGCATTTTAAAAAAATCGGCAGTAGGCCAAAAGTGAATGTATTTAGAGTGTGTGGGAATCTGATTGCTATTGATCTATAATCGCTCGAGTTTATTCACTTGACTTGCACTTCTTTGTCCCTGGGGTACCCCTCTCACGTAATTAGTAACGGCTGCCAAAGTTACTTACAAATAAAGGGCCAGTGTATCGTGGCTAACGGCTAGCTCTAATTTGTGGTCCATTGCATTTCTGTTACTTATTGGTCAAGCTTCTCATTTTGTTTGATTGGTACCGGCTGTACGAATGGCGATGACCGGCAGCGGTGTCTTACGGACGTAATATATAGGTTTCTGTTGAAGCTTGCATTTCTGTGCCCCACGGGTTGCGTCTCCAAGTTGTTGTTATTCGTCCTGGTTTTCCATGGTCCGCTCAATTGAATATATTCGATACTTTCCAGAAATTACAGACACCCTAAAGCTTATTAGTTGTCTTGGACTTGTATGTTTCTATGGACTCTCCATTCTGCTTTTAGTAGATCTCCTACATCTGAATAGAGGACTGAGTCGATAGTGGTGACTTTTGTGTGTCGGTTTTGTATTTGGTTGACTGGTATTTCTGTGGTCTGGTTTTTCCTGTGGTATATATAACGGTTTGCACGTACGAATGGAGGTTCTGACGATATCTGCCCAGTGCACGATGTCCCAGCAGTATTTTGGAGTGTAGATTCAGGTTGATGATTCTCACCAGGCTGACTTTCTTTGAGCCTTTGGTAATTCTTTTGAGAAACCAGTGCACCTGAATAAATTGTTCTGCTGAAGGTGTTTCTTCATTACTGGTCTTAAAAGCATCATTTCTTCTCATTATACAAGGTGGCCTTTTCTATCCTTTTGACACTTGAGATGTTTGCAGTTGCGTTTCTAGCCTCCCTTGACAATTCTGTGGCCCATGCTCCACCCCTCTACCTAATGATTCATAAACAACCTACTTGTACTGTTTATGCTCTTTTGGACAACTAGATCTTAACCTTCCTGCCTCTTTGAAATAAAATAAAGTTGTACATCCTACTTTTCTGCACCTAATTGGGCTAATAAAAACGGTGTTACCTTTGAAATGTTATGCTTGAATTGGTTCTCAACATTTTGATCTACACCTAGGCAATGGGAACTTGCTTGTTACCTTTGAGGGTTATATGCCCAGTGTGGCAGTAGGAGCTGAAATTTAATGCTTGAATTGGTCCTCATAAAAATGATAATATGGAGGTTTGAGAGGCTATTAATAACTTTATGAATGGAAACTTGAGATATATCATAGTAAATATCAAGTCTGTATGGAAGATAAGAATTTGATCAATATTGATTTAAGTTATCATTTCACCTTAGAGTACTCTATCTGGTGTAGGTGTTTCAAAGTTAATTTAGGAGTCCATAAGGTTATCTTTCTAAGGTTTAAGGGCTTTATGGTGCATGGTCTTAGGATTAGTACTCTATCTGGTGTAGGTGTTTCAAAGTTAATTTAGGAGTCCATAAGGTTATCTTTCTAAGGTTTAAGGGCTTTATGGTGCATGGTCTTAGAATTAGTACTTTAGCTGGTGTAGATGTTTCAAAGTTAATTTAAGGCGTCCATAAGGTTATCTTTCTAACGTTTAAGGGCTTTATGGTGCATGGTCTTAGGATTAGTACTTTAGCTGGTGTAGATGTTTCAAAGTTAATTTAAGGCGTCCATAAGGATATTTTTTGAAGGTTTACGGTCGGTAACTGATACACAATAGAATACAAACAGTTTTGAATGTGTTAGATAGACAATAGTTCTAGATGGTTTTAAAAATTACATGCATTACACTAGTGGTATATCAGTTTATTTGTGTATTGTTATGTATAGTATATTATATTATATTACCACTATGTAAACCTATGTACTACTATTGTTGACTAATACATGTTACTAGTGTATATATATATATAGTAGCTATGACCCATCTTGTATATTTTGATAAACCAGTGAAGGAATATTTATAGGATAGGCTTGTCTTGGAAACTAGTTCAACTTTTGTTTTGGCTGAAGTCTTATATTTCTAGGAGAGCTAGTTCAATACTCTTTGTAAAGGTGCTCTTCATTTCAATCCCTTAAACCAAACTGTCTGTCAGTAGTCTTTGTAAATTGTCAATTTAAGATCAAGGTTCAAGGATTTTGGAGTGTTTACAATGATAGGGTATTATGACATGTCTCCCTCGATACTTAATTAAAAATAAACAGCAAGTGAAACAGCTTTAGATCTGTTAATGGACTTGTCATCTCCAGTGTGTTTTGACACCTCTATCAAGTACTTGATACAAAGTATAATTTGATTAAGAATTAGATGTTGCTGGCATGCTGAAATTCAGCTCTCTTGATTTGTATGGATATTACAAAATTTATAGAACACTGCTTTTCAAAGCAATCAACAGAGATTTCTAGATATTCCCCTATAATGTCTGCTAGTATTCCCTGTGATGTCTTCTATGTTCCCAGGGCCTTTAATTTTGCTGTATTTGCCAGTCTTGTCTGATAGATGGTCAGATGCATCAACTGTCAGAAGATTTGTCATTCATTCATTCATTCTTTAACTCATTCATTCATTCATTCATTCATTCATTCATTCATTCATTCATTCAACACCATCACCATTTTAATAAGACTGAAATAGCCAGTGTATTCTTGTGAATTATTGATGGCTTATAAATAGACTAATCGGTACATGAAGTAAATTAATTCCAAGATAATCAATGCCAGAAAGTTTATACGTCCATATGTTGTCTACCTCTGGCCTTTATGATTGAAATTCTAGAAAACAAATGGTAATAGATTTGCTTTTAAAGCGAGACATTCAACTAATTATTCTCATATTTAATACATGACACAATTCAAAGATAGAACGAAACAAACAAGTATATTGAACAAGGATAACATCTTAGGTTCTTGAGGATCCTTTCTACCAGCTGATCCTTGGCCAAACCTCTTGGCATTGGTCTTTCTACCAGCTAATCCTTAGTTAAAACATCCATACAATGATAACAACTTAGGTTGACAGTTAAGGATCCTTTCTACCAGCTGATCCTTGGCCAAACCTCTTGGCATTGGTCTTTCTACCAGCTAATCCTTAGTTAAAACATCCATACAATGGTAACAACTTAGGTTGACAGTTAAGGATCCATTCTACCAGCTGATCCTTGGTCAAACCTCTTGGCATTGATCTTTCCTAGATTATCCTTACGCATTTACAGCTGGGTCGTCTGGAAATATAAGTGACGCTAGAAAGTAGTCCACCATTTTAACAAGGAAAATTAGTTTTAAAATTTTGATTTGCTACTGCACAATTTTCGTCAGATAATTTTTTGGCTTTTTTTTGAAGAAAATTGTTATTTCAATTGGTATTTTGAAGTGGGAACACTTGTGATAGCATGTTATATAAATGTACAGGAATGAAGGTCTTCTATCATTACTGATATCTTAAGTACGTTCTTTTCTCAAAACACAGGCATTCAATAATCTTTTTGTTTTAATCGCGAACACACATGTTGTAGGACTGTGTCACTAATGTTTTGGTATAATTGGGCCATTGTTTGTGACAGACCTTAATTTTTTTATCAGCACAAATGGTAAACAAACAAAATTATTTGAACTGTAAACAATCGTGTAGGCAGGGTTGGTATTAATTATGTTATCTTTGATCTGCATTACCAGTCACTTGTGGTGGTCACTTGTGTTTTGTGATTGCACTTGTAAAAGTTTTGTCAGTTACATAAGACTTTATATAATGAGTCACTGGGAGATCTAGATTCTTTTGATCAGACTTATCAGTTCTTGACAACTACCCTTAGGATTACCAAGTCACTAGGAGGTCTGATTTCGTTTTGGATTTATTTTCAAGGTATTTTAAAAGATTTGTTTATATTATATTACTTATTGATATTGGCCCTGACTATGTCTCTTAATTACTTGGTCTTCAAGAAGAACTTTAATTTTCCTCTATTTCAAAGTGTTGTTGAATTGAAGCTCCAAATTATTTAGTCTGAAGAAGGGCTCTTAGTTTTAGCAGTCAAGTCTAAATTGAACTCCAAATGACTTGATCTTCAAGAGGGCTCTTGGTTTTAGCAGTCATGTCTAATTGGGGCTCCATATGACTTGGTCTTAAGGAAGAGTTTGCTCTTGGCTGTATTTAATTGAAAGTACTTTGCAGTCAGGTCTTTGAAACTAAAAATAATTCTGCCATGAATAAAAAACAGTCAATACATGTAGACTTTTCTATTTAGATATCAAGTTATAACAATATTGAATTTGTTTGAGAGATAAATTGCTGGATAGTGAAAATTCTGTAAAATATAAAATTCCTATAAAGCAAAGTAGATAAATACAAATATTATTGATGTACATGCATCACTCGTGTTTCATAGCTTACTGTATACTACTCTACTATTGATCTAGCCAACAGCTTCACTTGTGATTTGGTCAAATTTCACTGAAATTGTAATGACCTGATCATGTAGTTTTCTTTAAAAAGGGTGATTTTATTCAATTGTCAAGTTAGTGATGTTGAAAGGCACTACTTCTGTTTGATATTACAGCTAAAATGGCTGTATAAAAATAAAAGATCTCATAATATATATTAAAGCTAGACTGAAATTATCAAAAGCTAAACTTCATTTTGAAATTAGAGCTAGAATGGCTTTAAAAAAAAAGTTTTAGTGAAATATTAAAGCTAGACTGAAATAGTAAAAAGAACACTCTAATTGCAGATTCCAGCAGTAAGTTAAGAGAAATCCAAGTAGAATGTCAATACCAGAAGAATGGTTATGGCCGGTCATTGTTGGATTTATCATCGCCTTCGTGCTGGCGTTTGGTATTGGTGCCAATGATGTGGCTAATTCATTTGGTACCAGTGTCGGAGCTAAGGTCCTGAGCCTGCGTCAAGCATGTATCTTAGCAACCATATTTGAAATAGCTGGAGCAATATTAATAGGTATTCTATTTTTTATGGTAATTTTTTTGTTGTTGCTCTTGTCTGCCATCTTGCCAATGAAGTGTCTTCCTGAGTGCAAAGCATGCATGCATCTTGGCAACCATATTCAAATTAGCCAATCCCATTTCGAGAGGTAGGATTATTTGCTCACAGCCAACCTTGTTACGCACGAATTCGACACTATTTCTGGCCCATTGGTTTCCTGTCATTTCTTGCATTTTCTGATATATGATTGGTTGTTTTTCAGGGTCCAGAGTGTCAGATACAATACGGAAGGGAATCATAGATGTTTCTCCTTACAATGGTAGCGAATCTTCCCTTATTATGGGAAATGTGGCTGCACTTGGAGGTAAGCTATCCAAAATTATGGTATTTGAGCTCTGTTGCTAGGACTGTAAGGGAAAACACATCTTTACAATGTCAAACTATTACAAACTGTGTCTAAATACCTTGAGATCATTAGCTATATCACTGAATGCAAAGAACCAACCAAATCTGTGCATTGACAAAGTTCCATGATACAAGTAAAGAACCTAATGAAATAATAGCTGGACATTATGAAGATGGGAAAACACTGCCAGTTAAAAAAGGAATATTTTTATTTTTAGTGAAAATTTTCCATTATTATTGCAGGAACTTGTGTCTGGTTGTTAACAGCTACAGCTATCCGTCTGCCAGTCTCAGCAACCCATTCCATTGTAGGAGCTACTCTAGGTTTCAGTCTGGTAGCTCAAGGTGCTAAAGGCATTGGTTGGGTCAAGCTGGGGATGATCAGTAAGTACTCTTCACATACTGTTCACATACTGTATAATTGCAAGTATAATGCGCACCTTTTTTGTTACATTTTGAAGAACTTCAGTGAACTCTTGGCTTAGTTTTTATGATTGTGTTTTGAAACTAGGAGCTGTTAAATTGTCAAGCCATTTAGTTACTTTCTGAGGGTCTGTAAAAGATCACGAGAGTGGGTTATTTTTTTGCCCTTACCAAGCATATTCAGAGCCACACAAATTTTTAAAATATGATTCATTGTGGTCTTATTTTCAGTTGGATCATGGTTTATCTCCCCTTTGTTATCGGGCCTTGTGTCCATGTTATTGTTTATTTTGTTAAGAAGACTTGTTCTAAGCAAGGTAAAGTTTTGAAAAATATTTTTATATTTTTACATGATGGCTTTAAATACAAATAAGTGTCTGTGTTGAGTAGGAGAATGAAAAAATTATTTGCCTGACCTACATGATCACAGGCTGTGCAAATCATTATTGATTATATTCCTGAAGGAACAAGATAGCTTTAAATGGCAGATATAGTATAGCCCAGTAGTTCAGGTAGTTATGAATTTATTATAAGCATCTAGAATGATGCCTCAATGACCCACAATACTCCACTGACAGAATGCCTCAATGACCCACAGTACTCCACTGACAGAATATCGTTATCCTTCTAGGAGAAACCATTAGAACCTGGGCTTCGTTTGTTACCAATATTTTATGGTGTGACTGTAGTTATTAACTCTTTCTCAGTTTTCTATGATGGATCACGAAGTAAGTACATTTATTATTGAGCAATATTACCACACACCATCTTATACCTTGACTGCAATAGTCACCTTTCTTGTTTCATGGAATGCAGTGATATTATTTGTACTTCCTAAGAATCATCTTATCTTTAAAGAATTGCTTAATTCTTATTTTTCTTTTTTTCCAGTGTTACATTTTGATAAGATCCCTCTGTATGGTGTGTTTATATTATCACTGGGGCTAGGTATAATAATAGCTGTTGTAGTCAAATTTGTAGTGGTCCCATGGCAGCGCAAGAGAATCCTAGGTAAGGAGATAACTTTTTTTGTCGCTAATCTTGTAATCTTGATGCTCTTCCAAAATATTCCTGTTAATTGGCTATCAAGTTTTTATTAGTGGGCAATATTGTAAAGATAAAGATCACGTATTCTCCAAACGATCTTAGTGCTAGGATGTCCTAAGATCTTAACCTCTAACACTGTTTCTAGGATATCCTAGCGCTAAGATCGTTTCAAGAATACATGCCTGACCTTAATGATTTGTTTTGTATTTTTCTGCAAACATAACACTTCCCATCCTTGATCTGAAGAAATTCTTGTTCTAATTGTGTTCAGTCAAATTCTTTTGTATTGAAAAATAATTTTGTAATTTTCAGCTTCTATTGCTAAAGAAGAAGCAAATAAAAAACTACCTCCGATAGAAAATGGTACAACTTCAGGGGAAGTGGATGGAGATCTTGAAAAAGGTATTATACTTATTTTTATTGAGAGAAAACTATAAACAGAAATTTGTAAATATCATTTATTGTGTTATTTAAACTGGCGGTAAGTTATTAAGATGATTAGATGTAGGATTATACAGATTTTTCTGAGTGTTAGGATCACTGATTAGTGTTGTAATTCGTAATATACAGTATGTCAGAGTACTCAGAGTTTTTAAACTGTCGTAAGAATGAAGTCAATCAGGACCAAAAAAAGAAGTTGGATTACTCAGAATGTCGGAGTACACTGTATATGCAATTTTTCTCATAATTTATTATAGGTTTACTACATCAAGATGATAATGGCAATCAAAATAATCAAGTAAGTCATATCTTCCATTCCTTTTGTGCAAAAATAAAAAAAATATGTGAAATATCAGTTGAAAATAGAAAATTCATCAACAGTTATAATTCCAAAAAATAATTTATTAAATTTCTTTCCTTTTTTTTAGAAATTACCAGAAGATAATTCACCAATAGTTAAAAATAGTAAAATTTATAATCCCTTTAAAAAAGTCCTTAGATCGATATCCAAAGACGAAGCCCCAAAAATAGATGAAGAGGTCACAGCAGATGCCGAAACTCCTCTGAAATCCAAGGACTTGGACGAAAAAACTCAAGAGGTTTCCATCTCGTGTGAGAGCCTGACCAAAGGTCGAGCTACCATCGAGGACAAGCCTGAAGCAGCCCGTCTCTTCTCATTCCTGCAAATTTTAACTGCTGTTTTTGGTTCTTTTGCTCATGGTGGAAATGATGTTAGGTTAGTAACAGACTTCTTACTTCAGAGCTAGTTCATTAGCTGCTACCAATGTATTGCCAAACTGTTCAATTGGACTTTCAGGTTTTGCTTGCTGTTCTGGCAGCGTATTCTGGAAACGATCTTAGAGCTAGGATGTTCTAGGTTCTTAACTTCTAACATTGATTCTAGGACATCCTAGCGCTAAAATCTCTTAGAATACGTGGCCAGATCTTCAGTACTTGTGTTTTTGTTTCATTTTATTTTTGTGTGGGGAAAGTTAGAATGAATGTTTATGGTGAACAAATTAAGAAAATCAGACCAATTTTTTAAAAAGTTACAAGCAAATGAAATTCACAAAGTAAGGATTACTATTTTGTTTATATTATTTTCCAGTAATGCCATCGGTCCAGTAGTTGCCTTATGGATGATATCCAATGAAGGATCTGTGATGCAGAAAGCCCCAACTCCAGTCTGGATCCTCTTATATGGAGGTGTTGGTATTTCTTTAGGACTTTGTGTATGGGGTCGTAGAGTCATGAAAACCATGGGTGAAGATTTATCCAAGATTACACCTTCTAGGTAAGAAATCAATTTTTTTATTTGGCAAGTTTGGATGAAGGAGGTACAGACATCTTTGTAACTTCCCATTTGGAACATTGACACCATCTTAAACTGGCCTTGCTTTAGCCCCCCACTTTGTTATCATTTTGTATAGGGAAAGACAATTCTGTGGCCCTTCTTCATCTACCACTAGTGACACTACGTCTAGTTGTTCAGATAAGACAATGAACAGAGGTCCTACATGATAAAGACTAAGCATGCCTGGGCACTAGCCGTTAGAAATCCACCATTCTTGCATCCTATTTCTTAATTTTTTTTTCCAGTGGTTTTTCAATCGAGATTGGTTCAGCCTTAACAGTATTAATAGCCTCTAATATAGGAATTCCCATCTCTACCACTCACTGTAAAGTAGGGTCCATAGTGTTTGTAGGCCGAGCACGTTCTAATGAAAACGTAGATTGGTCTTTATTCCGGAACATTATCATCGCTTGGCTGGTAACGTTACCAGTGTCTGGTGGACTCAGTGCGGCCATTTTTGCTGGGTTACGAGAAACAATATAATAGTGATAAACTAATGAATTTAATGTTCCTATTCCAAAATGCCATTATGCTATTGTGTTCCACAGCTTGTTTCCAGCAAGGCTGGGTACAGTGTGCCAGTCATATACCTGATACCCCTCAACATAAGAATGAGCTCTTCCACACGCACATACTTTCTATCTATATTGAAATATATTTGGCGGATTGGAAGAGCTCATTTATAAAGTTAGGGGTCAACTTAGGTCCAGTCTTGGTTTCCAGTGCACCATAATTATGCTGGACAATCAAAGTGCTTAAATTGATAAAAGATATTCAGTGATAGATGGATGAATCCTAAATGAATGAATGAATGAATGAATCCTAAAGGAATGAATGAATGAAAAGATGTTATTTCTAAGCTGAAAGATTTGTTTGAATATTTTCCCTTTTTTTTCTTTTCCGACCTGACATAGATGGTTTGTATGTAATATTTGTTGATTCTAAAAATTGAGATTCGAAGCAGAGCACCCTATTGTATTATATTTTGGCTTATTTTTATTACAACCATGATTCAAATCATCATTATATGCCAATTATAAAAGTAGCTAGAAATGAAGTCCCTGTTAGAAGGTCAAAGGCAAGAAAGGATAGGATGAGACTAAAACCCTAAAAAGAACCTCGAAAAACCATGTGTGCCTCAAATAAATTATTTTTATACTTTTTCCTTTATGATGATAATTGTACATACAGAACAGATATTGCTTCTATGGTAGCTAATTTAGGACATTTGTCAAGCTTTAAAGTTGCTTATTGCCTTGGTATTTTCATCAACTTTTTCAACAAAAATTATAGGACTTTAAGTTGCTCACTGCGTCTGTACTTTTGTCAAATTTGCATTTTTTTCAACAGAAATTATAGGACAGCAATTTGAGATCCTAAATATTTGTTTAAGTATTGTACTTTATGATTGAATGAATTCCATAAAATAAAATTTCTGAAATATTATTTCTTTTGTGTCTCAAAAAAATGAGTCTCCATAGTTCGCTTCCTAAATGAGCCACCATAGTTTTCCTGTGCTAAACAAATCACTCAGATAATATATATAAGTTACATAACTGCTCTGTTTAGTTTTTAAATGTTATCTTTTGCTTAATTTTTTTTTATATCAGATTTTTTGTGCACCCAAAATACATATATTTGATACATATTTTCATGCAAATTATTCTCTTGGAAACACGATCTTAAGGCAAAAATGTATATCACATATATATCGTATATATATATATCAAATTGTGATGTTTTTATCCTCTAGGATTGACTTCTTTATGCTGTTAAATGCATCACATAATCTGAAAAAAAAAAATAGATTTTTATAAATTGAAATTTCACATTTATAGTATTAATTTATAACAGCAATGATATATTTTTAAAAAAGTGATTTTTTGTATATAGATGTAATCGAGTTTATGTATTTTGAAATGATTTTTGATTGTATAATATATTGTGTATATGTGTGTATAATACTATGTGTATAAAAAGTTCTTTCATATTGAACTCATCTAATGCATATCATTTCAATGTTAAGGAAGAGTAAGTGTGGAGTAAATGGATATTCATAGCAGTCTGTGAATTTGGTAAAGATAAAAATTTATGTGTAACTCTATCTTTAAAGCATATTTTTCGTGTAAAAGTTTGATCCTGGTTATCTGCTCTGCTATTATAAAGCTACTCAGATGTTTGGTTGTAAGAAGTTGCTCTGATTTGGGAAAGTTACTAGCAGTTAGCCAGTTGCTCTGATATTGGCAAGTTGCTCTGATATTGGCATGTTGCTCTGCTATTATCAAGTTGCTCTGATATTGCCAATTTGCTTTGGTTATATCAAGTTGCTCTGATATTGCCCATTTGCTTTGGTTGTAAGAAGTTGCTCTGATTTGGGAAAGTTACTAGCAGTTAGCCAGTTGCTCTGACGTTGCTCTGTTAGCTCTGAGCTCTCTTACATTTATAAATCACTATTTATCACTTTCAGGCTTCCATTGTATTCATTAATGTATCCACCTCATGTGTCGCTAGTCAGTTTGGTCATCTACCCTTGATCCTTGAGACTTGAGACCTATAAATGCTCCTACAAGCTAGTAGGACTTCATAATTCAATTTGACCTATCAGAGATCGTTTTATATTTTGAATAAGGCTATTAAAATGCCACCCCCCAGGATCACTTTCAGTCAAAATTTTGATTTGATGAACTTGAACCTTATTAGTCCAGAATTAGGTCCAGCAACAACAGTCAAAAATTAGTGACTTGAATACCAGTCCATTGTATCAAGGGCAAGGTTGTCAAAATCAGCTCCTGGGTCAGCCAGGCCTTGAGGACACAGGATCATTATACCATGCTTATTATTCCATCTAGAGGTATTATTATTATTTTCATATCAGATCTATGTATGTATATATCAATAACAAATGTTAGAGAAGAAAAACACCCAATAAATTTTGTTAAAAAAATTATTTTCTTGTTTTTTTTTCAACATCTTTCTCAAATTGCGGGTGTTTATTTACTGTAGGTCATTCTAGTATTGGTTGCAATGATCAGATATTTAAGTTGAAATTGACGATATTTCGATGAACTGCTATTGAGTTATTTCCCTTGAACATTGAATTGATGTTAATTTCATAAGAAAATGTGCACGCTTATTGCTTTCGCAAGAATCTTTAAAACAGACAGGTGTGATACGTAAGCATTAGGTCACTTACAGGAATCATGAAATGCATGTACCAATCTATGTATTCAAATTGGTATACAAGCCTGTAATTTCAATTCAGAAATTCATTTGCTTTTGTCAAGAACGATTGTCACATCTGCAACAGAAGAACTGGGAGATGCTGTCATCATGGTAGGTTAATGTTTGGTACAATTGAAGGCACATTAGAAAAGGAGCTATGGAGAGCAAATTTTCCACAAAAAAAATAAATACAGATGAAAAGACCTCGATCAACCACATTTAGTTGATTTTCAAAATTACAGGATGCAATGAGAAAAAATTTGGCCGCGACAGCGGCATAAGCCTGCTCTTTTTCGATTTCCAACTGTCGAGGGATCTTTAACGTGCACAGCCTGTAGCACACGGGGCCTCGGTTTATTGTCCCATGTGAACGACAAGACGCTTTTTTCAGCCCCTTTTGTCTGCATCAATGACAAGGGGAAACCAGGTTGAAAAATCCAAAGGTATTATCTCAACCTATGCCGGGATTGAACACTGGACCTTCAGGTTAGCGAGCAAGCGTCTTACTCACTGACCTTTAAAGTTCATTTGGTATAGTGTCCTAAATATATTCCTTTATTTTTTAGGCCAATATAAAAGACCAGTTAAAGTTATTTGAATTTGAAGCACATTTACCGGGTAATAGAAAAATAAATTAATAAGGTAAAGTTTTGACATATTTCAATTAATAATTTGTCATATTTCAAAGTATAATTTAGCATATTTCAAGGTATAATTTAGCATATTTTAGTGGAGTATTTTGATGATAAATTTAGGCGTATTTTAATGACTTAAAAACTTTATTTTGTTCATTTTTCTAATATCCAAATGTTCTATTCAATTATTGTGTTGTCAAATCTATATGTTCTGTACTTATATTGTGTTGTCAAATCTATATGTTCTGTACAATTTTTGTGTTCTCAAATCTATTATGTTCTGTACAAATATTTTTCCTCATATCCAAATGTTATGTACAAATATTGTGTTCACAGATCCAAATGTTCTGTACTAGTATGGTGGTTTAATGTCCAAATGTTCCGTAAAATTATTGTGTTCTTAGATCCAAATGTTCTGGACAAATATTGTGTTCTCAAATCTATATGTTCTGTACAAATATTGTGTTCTCAAATCTATATGTCTTGTACAATTATTGTGTTCTCAAATCTATATGTCTTGTACAATTATTGTGTTGTCAAATCTATATGTCTTGTACAATTATTGTGTTCTCTAATCTATATGTTCTGTACAAATATTGTGTTCTCAAATCTATATGTCTTGTACAATTATTGTGTTTTAATATCCAACAGTTCTTTACAAATATTGTGTTCTATCCAAATCTATTAGGTACTTAGTCAATATGAGTTTAGTAAAATAAATAATGTAATAAGGTCTATGTAAGATTAATGTAACCTATATCATATGCCACTTGCATAAGGTGGAGCTTAATATATACCATCTCATGTTTAATTTACAGTCAATTTAGGGTTGTTCTGTCATGTAGGTGTATTCCATTCTTTGCAAGGATATGTTTTATATTTGTTAAGCCTTGTGTATCAATTTTCCATTATGTTGTTAATGAATATTTTGTATTGTATTTATTTTTATAAGTTTGTATTACAATATATGTTTGTAAATAATAAAATCCATTTGTTTTGAATTTTAGAAGTCTTGTTACTCTTTTATTCTTCCCTGCACGAAGCAGCAGAGTGTCTCTTGACAGTCTGAAGAACTTGGCATCATGAGTTTGGGTCTTAAAGGCGCCGATTCCATCATGGAATGATATATATGCTTATTTGAATATTTGAGCAAAAACACCCCTATTAGAATGAAATAGAAGTGGTCCAACCTATAAACCCTTGTGAATTTTAAAGGGTAGACTCTTCAAACACCCCTATTTCAGCCGAAAAATGAACTATCCCAACCTAACACCCCTTGACCTAAAGAATATAGACTATTCCAATCAGTACTCACTCCTCACTCACCTAATCAGGTCATTGACCTAGTGAAGTGAGTGATTTATGAATACCTACTCACTAGAGTGAGCTGATTTAGAGAAGAGCTCACCCCATTTTCAGGTTAAAATGTACGTTTTTGAAAATTGGTGAGTACTAGTGAGTAGTGTTCACTACTTTTCTGGTAAATGTCCAATTTTGGAGGGGGGTGAGTAGATTTCGAAATCTACTCAGTTTCAGTTAACTGTTAGTGAGTACTAGTGAGTAGTGTTCACTACTTTTCTGGTTAAAATGTCCAATTTTGGAGGGGGTGAGTAGATTTCGAAATCTACTCAGTATCAGTGAACTGTTTCTGAACACTACTCACTAGGTGTTCACTAT